GGCGGCGGCGGCGGTGGTGGTGAGGATGAAGGTGAGGATGAAGACAAAGATGATGACGATGATGCTGCAGTTGCGTGACGAAGTGGCGGAAGAAAGAAGAGGAGGAAGAGGTGGAGGAGGAGGAGGAGGAGGAGGAGGGGAAGGAGGAGGAGGAGGAGGACGATGATGACGGTGAGAATGATGGTGATCATGGTGTTGCTGGTGACGAGGATGATGAAAGAGATGATGATGGCGGTGGTGCTGCTGCTGCTGGGGCCGGCGGCCGCGCTGATGGCGACTGCCGTGAATCAGTATGACCGCATTCACTGTCAGCAGCGGCGATGGAAACAAAAAGCACTTCTCGGTAAGATTCGGACAGTTGCGAAACTGTAATGCTTTCATGGACCCACATCATGATGCAAGGTCTCACAATCTGCGGGAGACCAATACTGGTGTGTGTCCATTGACGAGGACCCTGGCGCTACAGTAAACTCAGATCCCTTCAAAAGGACAAACCGGGATGAAAAGAGGCATAATAATCTCATGTTAAAATACCCTTGGAACCCTCGGCCCTCAAGCTTAAACCCCAAACCCTCAGCCCCAGCCCTAAACCGTAAACATCCTTAAACCCTCAGCCCTAAACCCTCAGCCTTAAACCCTATGCCCTCTGCCCCAAACCCTAAACCCGCCCGAAACCCTCAGCCCTCCAGAGCCTCAGCCCTATAAAGCCTAAACCCCACAGCACTACACCCTAAGCCCTCAGCCCTGAAAAGCCTTAGCACCTAAAACCCTAAAAACCCTAAAACCCTCTCCTGCTCCGCCAGGACCCGCAAAGGCGTCTCGGCGTTGAAGGGCTTAGCCGCTTGGACCACGAGCTCTGGGTCCCGCTTCGGGTCCGTCTGGTAGGGGTCGAAGGGTGGCCTTGTCTTAGGGATCCTTTCAGGTTTTCGGGTTTCTAAACCGAATCTTCGGGGATTAGTCGCCAATTTGGATTTCCGGCTAAACCTTCACCACCTTAAATTCTAAACCCTATAAACCCTAGATCCTACCTATAGTCTCCATTGTAGTTCCTTTTTGGGGATGCCCTATAAAATCCTTAATATATAATCTGTTAAACCAAAAAAGGAACTACAATGGAAACCACAGGTAGGGATCCTTTAAAGAGTCTCTTGCAAGGGATCTATGGGATTCCCACGCTTTGGCGCCAAGCTTTTAAGTGGCTATGTGATGTGAGTTCTGCCTTTGCACTTTAAAGCCAACTTCGAGCATGTCGACATGCAGAACGTCACACGGCCTTGACGCCACCTGCGACTACAAGCCAACCATGTAACAACAGCTCCTACAGTATGACGGCGGCCGCAGCAGCCTCAACAACCGCGAGGCAGCACTTGCCCGGAGCGTCTACGGAAGGGGCTGCCAGGGTTTAGGGTTTAGGGTTCAGGGTTCAAACACATCCGTTTCCTGCCGACCGTGCTCTGGACGAATCCGTTTCTGAACACAGCCCCAAAATATTGGAGTTGTTTTTGAGCTTTGAACCAGTGTGAATCCCGAAGTGAGAGCATGTCCCAGCATGGCCCATGCACCAGGATGACACACACCTGCCGAGAAATATACAGAGAAGATTAGCACGGCCTCTGCAAGGCATCTCGCTCAAGTCCGATAACGCATGAAAAGAGCTGCCGTGCTTTCTAGTTTCACACTAAACCCAAATTTAGGGTTTAGGGTTCCCTGGCCCAAAAGCACGAGCCCTAAACCCAAACATGTGCAGATTCATGTCTCGGTTTGAGAGTACACACTTTTCAGGGAGATCATACTGACACGCATATAATTGCAAAGGGTCGTACTGTGTACTTAGGGATGAAGGTTTCCTTGTTTGCGGAAACTCCGATGTGGGGTCTATATCAGAACTCCTTGTTCCGTGACGCCTGGAGTCTGAATTTCCTGAGCCTTACGGCTGAAATCCACCGTCTCTGTAGGTTAGGGTTAGGCTCCGCGTTGTGTAGGGTGGCGGGTCACGGCTAGGGCAATTCAGGCTGAGGCTTCTGAAGAATCTATCGCTAGTTTGGGACTATGCTCTGTGTTGCTAGACGACGTCTGCTACCAGAACCCACTTGACGAACTTGTCTCAAAAACAACATCTGACGCTAAACCCTTAACACCGAGTTAGTATACCAAGAAGGCACATAAACCTGTCCAAGATGCGGGAGGTTCGCGTACTCATCCAGACTCAGGTGGCCTATGCGGTACTCACCCAAGATATCCTTCACGCTCGCGACGTTGTGCTGAGCATACATCGCCCAAAAGGGGTCGATCCTGAAAGTTTAGTCGAAGTTGATTCATGGGCGTTGCTTGCTGTCGGTGCCTGAAAATACTTCTAGTCAGGAACCCCAAGGAAGTCGACTAGTAAGTATTCAGGCCCCTATGATAGCGATGCCTACAGCCTACCTATAGTCTCCATTGTAGTTCCTTTTTGGGGATGCCTTATAAAATCCTTAATATAAAATTGGTTAAGCGGTTAAACCAAAAAAGAAACTACAATGGAGACTACCGGTAAAACCAAAAAACGATGCCCCTAAACCCTTAACCCTAAAACCTAAAAACGATGCCCAGGCACTGGCCGCCTGCTGCCTTGAGAATTCGCTCTAGCCCGCCGGGGTGGTTCTGCACGAACCTGGGATGTAGCTTAAGGGCCCCGAACGGGTTTAGGATTTAGGGTTTAGGGCTTAGGTAGCTTAAGGGCCCCGAACATGCTTCGGGTTTGGGGCTTGGTTTAAGGTGTTTAATATGGTGAAGGGGCACCTGAAGCATAACACATGCACACCAAAAGTCTCAAAATCGCCACCTAGGAACTTGGTGATGTCGTAGACGCCGTCACGATACGTCACCCAGATGCCTTTCTCGATGGAATCATGCTTCTGCACTTCCGCGAAGGGGATGACCTTCTGGTGCTGGACTTTGGTGAAACGGCGGAAGCCAGGGTCGAAAGCTAAGCTGGACAGCAAATTCTTCGTTGGAGAAGGAGGGGGGGGACCCTCCTAGCTGACTTGTGAAGCCTACTGGCAGCTACAGTCGCTGCGCCACGACTGCCATTCAAGAGGACGTTGGCGATGGGGCCTAAACCCCACTAAACCCTCAACCCTAAACCCTCAACCCTAAACCCTAAACCCTTAAATCCTATACCCTAAACCCTACTAAACCCTCAACCCTAAACCCTATGATGGACAGGCCCTGACCTACTACTGCAGCAAAAGCCTTGATCTCTACACCGCAAAATCCTAAAGCCAGATTGTCCACGGTTTAGGGTTTCCCAGACCCCCCAAAAGGATCTACAAAATAGATCCCCTAATTAGGGACCCTGACTACTAAACGGTACTTTATAGGAACCCCCTTAGGGGATCTATTGTTAAGATCCTTTTGGGGGTCTGGGTTAGGATCCTTTAGAATCCCGAGAACCAGGAATTCCACAAGAGGTTTCATCGCAGACATACAGCTAAACCCTGCAACCCTTCACCCAGAAATCCCAATTCCTGGACGCCAACAAATCAACCGAAATCCCGATAATATAGAAGCCTTAATAGTTAGAATAAGGTTTTGGTGTCCTTTATAGTATAATTATACGAAGGAACCCCCAAACTGGTATAGGTAATTATTGAGGCCCCTATACTACCCAAGTCCCTGCCTTCTCTCCTTCCTTGAAGCCAGGTGCCAGTTGCTTCACTTCAGGCTCCTTCTCCTGTCTAAGCTGTTCAGTAACCAACTGGGAAAAAGTATATGGTTTAGGGGTTTAGGGGCTTAGGGCTTAGGAACTTTTCTTGGTTTAGTTATAGTATTGTAGGAACCAGTATACCCAAAAAAAGTATAAACACAAAAATTCATACTACTGAACATCCTAGAGTCCTTCTTCGCAACCTTCTCGCCCCCCTTTTCCTTTCTCTCCTGGGTGCCAGATGTTGTCGGCATTGCGGGCGTCGTGGGTCCAGAAAGGGCTTAGCGCTTTACTTAAGGGTCCAAAAGACCCAATAATCAGGTACTTAGGTTTCGGATAGTAGTTATGTAGGTTAATATTTGGCAGAGTATATGATTATTAGGTACTTGGCCCTTAGGGTTAGGGTTTAGGGATGTCGCGTTTACGGTTTAGGGCGTTCGGGCTGAGAGTTTAGGGCCTAAGTTGAGCCTAAATCCTAAACCCTAAACCCTACACCCTAAACCCTAATGCCTCAAACCCTAAACCCTAAACCCTACCCCCAAAACCCAAAACCCTAAACCGTTTCCGGCTTTCGGCTTCGGAGTCTGGGCTACTGGCATCCCGAAGACGAGCTGACACCGGCAAAGCACAGGTGTAGGGGCCGTAATAATGAGAACAATTAGGGTTTTGGGGGTTCCTTATCATACTTCCAGTATAATATACCCCCAAACCCTCTTCTTACTATTAAGGCCCCGAATATACAAGCTTATCATAGATCCCTTGTAGAACCCTTGAAGGATCCCTTTAAAGGAACCCTCTTCTTTTTTTTTAAGGCCCCTACACCCTAAACCCTAAACCCTAAACCCTAAACCCTAAACCCTAAACCCTAAATCCTAAACCCTAAACCCTAGATCGGAA